CTCTATTACCAAACCAGTGCTTTCCTATATCCTTCCTGAATCTGAATTTTTGTAGCTTAAAACCATAGCTGCAAGCCTTTTATAGGCTAGATATTTTTAGCACACTATTTACATCCCCTTCATTCATTCCTGTTTTCCATTTATACACCTCAGTCATATCCCCCCTAATTCTACGCCTGTCTAGAGAGTGCAGATTCAGGGCCTCAGTCTATCCTCATAGGGAAGATTTCTGATACATGGGATCAACTTTGCCATCCTCCTCTATACGTTTCCCAGTGCATTTATATAGATTCTGTAATACGGTGACCAGAACTGTGCAGCATAATCTAAATGAGGCCTAACCAAGGATATATAGAGTAGAAGAACAATCTGAGGATTTCTATTATTTATACTTCTTCATATGAAGCCAAGAATTCTATTAGCTTTATTGCGAACGCTTATGCACTGTTGTCTTGGTTTCAGATTTCTGCTAATCAGAACTCCTAAATCCTTTTCGCAAGCAGTAATATTAAGATCTACATTATTTAGTTTATATGTGGCATGGTTATTTTACATTTAGAACTTTGCATTTGTCTATATTAAACATCATCTGCCACTTCTTCGACCATTGCGTCAAATCATCCTGGAGTGCTCTAATGTCCTCATTAGAATGAATTGGAAGGCCTATTTTGGGGTCATCAGCAAATTTCCTTATGTTGCTATTTATTCCCATATCTATGTAGCTTATGTAAATTGTGAACAACAAGTGGCCGAACACTGACCCCTGTGGAACACCACTTGTGACGTGCCCCCATTCTGATTTCTCCCCATTTATGTAAACTTTCTGCTGCCTAATTGCCAACCATGTCTCTACCTAGGGAAATATTTCTCCTATTCTGTGTGCCTTAAGTTTCCTCAATAGCCTCTGATGTGGAACTCAATCAAAAGCCTTACTGAAGTCCATATACACAATATCATATTCCATACCATGATCTACCTCCTCAAATACTTTAGTGAAAAAAGTTAGTAAATTCGCAAGACAGGAACGCCCCTTTGTAAAGCCGTGTTGAGATTCATTAATCAATTTATGCCTTTCAAGATGGCTACGAATTGTTTCGGCAATTGATTCCATAAATTTTCCCACTTTGGAGGTAAGGCTTATTGGTCTATAGTTCGAAGCTAAGGACCTGTCACCTGCCTTGTAAATAGGGATTACATTTGTCATTTTCCACTTATCAGGCACTATGCCAGTTTGTAGTGATATGTTAAAAAGATTAGCCAATGGTTTGCAAAGTTCCTCTTTACATTCCTTTAACACCTTTGCAAACAGTTCATCAGGGCCTGGGGATTTGTTAGGTTTTAATTTCTCTATTTGTCTGAGGACCATGTCACTAGTTACTGCAATCGTACATAGTTTATTATTGTCCTGTTCTACATAATTTATTTCAGGAATTTTGGTAGTATTTTCCAAAGTAAAAACTGAGAGGAAGTAAGTATTGAATATTTCACACATATCCTTATCACTGTCAGTGATCTGACCTGAGTTACTCTTAAGTGGGCCTATCTTGTTCTAATCTTACTTCTGTATACCTGAAAGAACCCTTTTGGGTTAGTCTTTGAATCCCTTGCGACCTTAGCCTCATAATCCCTTTTTGCTTTTCTTCTTTTTTTATTTCTCTCTCTTTAATTAAATATATTTTTTTCTTAACTGCCCATCCCCTCTTTTGATACACCTATATATGCTTCTCTTTTGACAATGAGATGTTTTAATCTATTGTTCATCCATTTCAGATCATTTTTGTTAGATCTAATTTCCTTACTCGGAACAAAAGTTGTCTGGGGAGCTAGAACTATGCTCTGAAAAAACATCATACTGGCAACGAACACCACCTACCTGACCCATAGTCAGATCATCCCAATTTAGCCCACCCAGGTAATTTTTCAGTCCTATGAAATCGGCCAAGCGAAAGTCAGGGACAGAGATTTGATTGCAGTCATCTGGGTAATTCCATGATATATTGAAACTAAGTGATTTGTGATCACTTTTCCCAAGTTCATCATTAACTCAAGATTATTGACTCAGGAAAATCGTATGACTCGTTTGCAAACAAAACCTACCACGGGCGGGATTTGAACCGCGTCAGAGAGTCTCAAAACTCCAGACCGTCGCGTTGCCACTAGGACCAGCTATGCCACAATAAGATTCGTCCATATACGTATATTTCTACAACCACAGGAAGGTTAGCATAAAGGGACTCACTGTGACCACAAATAAGTTTTTACAGACGAATCTCCAGCTTCGTGGCCGTGACGAACTCTACCTCAAGTCCCCTCACTGCCGTCAACATGACTCACGAAATCGTAATGACACGATTGCAAACAAACCATACCACGGGCGGGATTTGAACCCGCGGTCAGAGAGTCTCAAAACTCCAGACCGTCGCATTAGCCACTGGACCAGCTAGCCACAAGATTATTAGTGATTCTTTGTTTGGCAAGAACCAAGTCAAGAAATTTGTTTCCTCTAGTTGGTTCTGTCACAATCTGTTCTAAAAAGCAATCCTGAACTGTATCAAGAAAGCACTAGACTCAAGATTTCCTGTCACATTGTTCCAATCAATTTGTCTAGAGTAAAAATCTCCCATTAACACAACATTTTCATGTCTCGATGCCTAATGAATTTCGTCCCAAAACAGTTTAAATGCACTCTCTGTCAAGGTTTGGGGGCCTATAAATCCACCCGAAATTAACTTTTTACGACCCTCGAGAAACTGTAGCCAAACAGATTCTGTGTCCGATGTTTCTAATCTTATATCTTGTCTAACACAGCAATTTAAATTATCTCTGACATACATCGCCACTCCACCACCCTTCCTATTTGACCCTATCATGTGGAATAGTTTAACCCTGTATGTTCCATTCTGAAGGTATTTCTCTTTTTCAGGTTGAACCAGGTCTCTGTTATTCCAATCATATCTATATTACCTGCACTTGCAAGTAATCTTAGCTCATCTATCTTATTTCTTAGACTCCTACTATTTGTTTTGTAAACTTTTAAGGGGGGCTAGTCACTCGTTGCCCTCTACTGTTTGTCTTTGTTTGTTGATCAATTACTATGACTTTACTAGCAACTTTATTTTGAATATTGTCTTTTAAACATATCCCTGAGGTATCCTGGTTATATTTGCTGTTTTCAACCCTAATGCTGCAGCCTGATTGTTTCCCACAAACACCCATACCTCTATAATAGATCAGTTTAAAGTCCTAGACAAGTCATCAATTACCCCCTCAATCGAATTGGCTAATGAAACCACTCCAACTCCAGAGAGATGAACCCCATCCTTGCATACATATCACGTTGCCATAAAATAGGTCCCAGTTATCAATGAATGGGATTGCAAGTTCTTTGCAGTACCTGTCTAGCCAGCAGTTTATACCAATTACATGCATTGCCCACTCCCCTTCTAGGCATGATGCTACACATGATTGGTATCCCTCCCTTAGACCTGACTACAACTATGGGTGACCTGTAGTTATCCAGCAGCTCCTGTCTCCTGTCTCCACCAGCACTAAGACAGATAATGGGCTTGTTCCCATTCTCTGACATAATATTATCCAACCTGCTGACTATGCTGCACATTTTCCTGTCGTGGCATTTTCCTGTGTACATATGATTCTGCCTGCCCGAAAGGTGTCTTCAAACACTTTAAATATAACTCTCAGATTCTTGATTCCTATATCACCTACTCGTTCGTGCCTCGCTATTTCGACACACAACTTCTTTACCAGGGAGCACTGGCAGGTATCAGCAAGTGATCACCTTCTGAGTGTTTGACAACTTGACGATCAAGTTTTCCAGTTGTGTGTTTCCTTATAACTCGGTCAACATGAAGGACAGTGCGAGCAAATTTTGTAACAGGCTTCCTAGTACCCAAGAAAAGGTTTTAGGTAAGACGGATATCCATAACTATTATTAAGCGGAGGGGTCCCTTTCAAGTGCACATTTTTTTACTTTCATTATTCTGAGTAACATCATTTTAAAGTTCTTTTTAAATGGAATTAAAAAAAATACGAGTTTCCAAAACATTAATTCAGGGGCAGAGCTTCTTATTGGAGTTTTTTTTGTTGTTGTTGCCCAGTGTTGAGTTGCACATCAGATTAAAGTTAATTTTTTACTGATTTTAAAAACATGTACGATATCTCAAGACTCTTATTTAGAAGGCTGATGTCTTTCGGTACATAATCTACTCCCATCTCCTGACAAGGACGGTGCTGGGGAGTGAGCTTTCCACACCTAATTATATAATGACAAGGTGAGTGTATGGTCCCACACTTGCCTCATCATAAGTCGGGTGTGGGTTGTGGGTCTGCTTCCTGCAGGTGCTTCATGTCAAATTTTAGTGGGGAAAGTTGACTAAGAATACAGAATTTTCCACTCGCTTATAGCAAATAGAGGATCGACCCAACACAAATCTTGGTGTTGAATGATTAGAATGGGTTGAGAGATTTATGTTGAATAATAATAATAATAATAATAATAATAATAATAATAATAATAATAATAATAATAATAATAATAATAACTGAACTCCCAGAATGTTCCTCTGCGCATTCTCACTAAGACCTTTATTTAGGACAAAAGGTGTTACCCCTCGTGGGATGCACTAGCTGCTTCTTCCTCCAATCTCTCCTGGGATGCCCCGGCTGCTTCTCCCTCCAACCCTTCAAGTAGGAAGGGGAATTCTATTGATCCTTGTGAAGGGCTCTGTATCCTCCCTCGAATCAAAGCCGATTTCCTCTTATTTCCCAAATGCTGAATGCCCACCTATAGGGCGAACACTTCCCGAAGATAATGTGAAAGCCTCTCTTGCACAATGTTTTCCCTTCACCGCAGTGTTCTTCTCTTCGGCTCAGCTCAAGAAAAGGAAATTGGAAGTTTTCTCTCTTAGAGCTGCAATATTTTTGTTTTTATTTTATTTTGATTTATTATCTGCAGCATTGATTTAATCCTTCTATTTTAGATGCAGTGGTGGATACTAGTGTTGGTATGTGCTGCAGTACTGCAGTCAGTGCTGACCACCAAAGTGCTCTTCCTGGGGCCTATCTCTTCAAAAAGTCACAAGAACTTTTATATGGGCATTGTTAATGCCTTGGCGGATGATAACATCCAGGTTAGTCATATCTGACTGTTAGACAGAGAGAGAGAGAGAGAGAGAGAGAGAGAGAGAGAGAGAGAGAGAGAGAGAGAGAGAGAGAGAGAGAGAGAGAGAGAGAGTTACATCCAAGCGGCTGCCACGGTATCCTACCTGTCTCGAGAGCAAGCACCTTACATACCCATCAACTCAGGCTGAACACAATCCATCAGCATCCTGTCGGCTAACATTACATTAAAGGCTTCATAACCAGTGTTGGAGAGCTCACACACAGTTTCGTCAACACACATCGGCCCGAATGATCACTGTCGCTTAGATATTTTTGGACGACGGGACTCAGGAAATTTTTGCTGAAATTGCTGGCTGCACCTCATAGATGAAAAGCAAGGACGTGGAGGCGGTGTTGCTGTGTGCTTCTCTAAAAGTGTACATATCCAGCCCATTGATGTTGTCATCCCAACTTACCTAGAAATGATGTTCTTTAAGCTTTGCATAAGCACTAGTGAAGAGACAAAGACAAGGAGAAGCAGCCCAGCCGCCGTGGAGAGAAGACGTCGTCGTTCCTGCTCTTCAGCTGAGCAACTCTGAACACTGTTGCTCGAGATTTTTCTTGTGTTATCCTGAGTAATTCTTCACCAGAGCTGAGAGGAAACTTGCTTGCAGTCACTTCGGGCTCGATCCCATCAAGAGGGTAAGGCGGTGACTTGCTTGCTTGTTCACCCCTCTCATCCCCATCCCCCCATCCTTCCCCATCCTCCCCTCACCCAAACATCAACACTGGCCCACACACTTAACACACTACATACATTGCTATCCTTCTGACTTTCCTATCTTCTTTTTCGGCAACTTCGCTTTGGCGAGTTAACACAAGGCATTTTGACCATCTGGTAGCCCGTGTGGTTTTTTAAAATCCGGCCGATCTTTGCCTTGGGCCCTTTCCCCCTCACTACTCGAGGGTAGGCTATTTTAGGGGCTGACCTTCATAAGTCAGCAGAAATAGGATGTTAGGCTAACATTAAGGAAAGATTCCTTTTTGTTAAGAAACTCCTCTGCCAGATGTTCCTTCCTAGACATCATGGCGAGGATAAGAGTAAGATTACATGTTGATGGAAACCAAAAGTCGATAAAACAAATTCTAACATGTATTTGCTCGAACTCAACTGTTGCTTCAGTGGATGTTTTTCAAACCCACGCTGGAGTAGTACTTCTCCTCTCTTCGGAAGAAGAGTTACTTCAACTACTGAAGCATGATGTCCTTGAGAAACTGAAGACTTCTGGTGTTACCCCAGTTGTACCTGAGACCTATCAAGCTCAGAGGACAGTGTTTGTTGCCAGAATTAACAGTTTCATGAGACATAGCACAGCGAATGAAATTGTTGAGGACTTTAATACAGATAATTCTGAATTTAGGGCTGTAGAAGCACATAAATTCTCTAAGCCTAACAACAACAAGGTAACCTTAAAGTTAATACTTGAGACACCTGAGGAGGCCAAACTTGTATGTCAAAATGGCTTCAAATGTTTTGTCACCAGATGTACACCTGACCAAATCTCTCTTGAACGATTTGTCAGTGTGACACAATATTTTAAGTGTTATGCCTTTGGTCATAACACCAACAAATGCAGTACTCAAGGGCAGATTTGTAGCATTTGCTCTGGCCAACATTCTTATCGAGATTGTAATAATAAAAATACACCCAAATGTGTCCTCTGCAACGGAAAACATCATGCTGTTTCTGCTATTTGTCCTGAAAGAAGAAAAAGGAAATGCAGAAAATTATTGAAGCCAAGAAACTGTCCACTTCTAAGAAGACCACTCTCCAGGCACCGCCAACGATGTCCCAAACTTCCTTCCCAGCTCTGCCTGGATCAAGTGGGACTCCTCAGGTCTCTACCAATGGTTCCAATGTTTGGAATTCTGCCCCTCTTGGAGCGCCCCAATCTAACCCTCACCTACAACATACACAAACGCAACAACAAGGTTCAGTCTCATCTCCTATGTCTCGGGTATCCACGGCCGGGGATATGACGAGAGCGCAACTAATGTACATGATGGCCAAAGACATAGCAGATGGTGACATTCAACTCTGCTCTCAGGTTTTAAATGATCTGTTAATGGCTAATGGGATCACTCCCATCATTATCCCAGAAAATGTGAAGGCTATTATGACCCAGCCTTCTCATAACAAGAAGTATGTACCCTACTCTACATCTAAAAATAAGCCTAAGTCATCCCTGGCTCAGGGATCGCCCACCTCGCATACCCAGGTTGTCAACTCCCCTCAACCCGATAAGTCAACACCTGAACATAACAATGCCCCAGAAAGTGGTGCCTACTCTCCCGCTATTGAAGCTGATCCTGTTGAACAGGAACTTTCCCAGGGTGACTCACCTTGCCTACCTAATTTTCCCTTGGAGCCTCCACAGTCTCCCATTAACTCTCACGAGCCTCTGCTTCCTGTAACTGGGAATATCATACCTCAGTTTTTTGATGATGACTCTAACGATTCTAATGAGTCTGTTAATATTACTACCTCTAGTGAAGATGATGGCATTCTTAATACACAAGCAACTACGCAGAAGTTCCCTCCTCCCCTTGACGAGTCCAGCAGGGATAGTGTGGATACAACACGTGACATTACTTGCAGGCGTTCAGACCGCAGTACACGAGCGAAGAACAAGAAATAATGGGGATTACAATTTTCCAACTTAATGTTCAACATTTCTTTAATAACCGTTACCTCCTTGAGGTTGAACTACATAATTACAATCCCGATGTTATACTCTTGAACGAGACAGCTGCAAGAGTTGATCAACATATTAACCACAAGGAGATCGATTGGGAGAACTTGGACCCACATGGGGGCCAAGATACATGGAGGGCTAAGATGATGGAGGTTGTACTGGAAAACTTCATGTACCAACACGTAAGGGACACTACAAGAGAGAGAGGAGAGGATGAACCAGCAAGGCTGGACTTAGTATTCACCTTGAGTAGTGCAGATATCGAGGACATCACATATGAAAGACCCCTTGGGGCCAGTGACCATGTGGTTTTAAGCTTCGAATACACAGTAGAGCTACAAGTGGAGGGAGAAGCAGGAAGGCCAGGACGAATGAAACCAAACTACAAGAAAGGGGACTACACAGGAATGAGGAACTTCCTGAACGGGGTTCAGTGGGACAGAGAACTGGCAGGGAACCCAGTTAATGAGATGATGGTTATGTAGCAAAAAAATGCAAGGAGGCTGAGGAGAGGTTTGTACCCAAGGGTAACAGGAATAATGCAAAAGCCAGGATGAGCCCATGGTTTACCCAAAGGTGCAGGGAGGCAAAAACCAAGTGTGCTAGGGAATGGAAGAAATATAGAAGGCAAAGGACCCAGGAGAATAAGGAGAGCAGTCGTAGAGCCAGAAACGAATATGCACAGATAAGAAGGGAGGCCCAAAGACAATATGAAAATGACATAGCAGCGAAAGCCAAATCTGACCCGAAACTGTTGTACAGCCACATCAGGAGGAAAACAACAGTCAAGGACCAGGTAATCAGGCTGAGGAAGGAAGGAGGAGAGACAACAAGAAATGACCGTGAAGTATGTGAGGAACTCAAAAAGAGATTCAAAGAACTGTTCACAGAGGAGACAGAAGGGACTCCAGAAAGACGGAGAGGTGGGGCACACCACCATGTGCTGGACACAGTGCACACAACGAGGAAGAAGTGAAGAGGCTTCTGAGTGAGCTAGATACTCAAAGGCAATGGGGCCAGATAACATCTCCCCATGTGTATTGAGAGAGGGAGCAGAGGCGCTATGTGTACCCCTAACAACAATATTCAATACATCTATCGAAACAGGGAGATTGCCTGAGGCATGGAAGACAGCAAATGTAGTCCCAATCTTTAAAAAAGGAGACAGACATGAAGCATTAAACTACAGACCAGTGTCACTGACATGTATAGTATGCAAAAATCATGGAGAAGATTATCAGGAGAAAGAGTGGTGGAACACCTAGAAAGGAATGATCTCATCACAGCAGCCAACATGGTTTCAGGGACGGGAAATCCGGTGTCACAAACCTACTGGAGTTCTATGACATGGTGACAGCAGTAAGACAAGAGAGAGAGGGGTAGGTGGATTGCATATTCTTGGACTGCAAGAAGGCGTTTGACACAGTTCCACACAAGAGATTGGTGCAAAAACTGAAGGACCAAGCAGGGATAACAGGGAAGGCACTACAATGGATCAGGGAATACTTCTCAGGAAGACAGCAGCGAGTCATGGTACGTGGCGAGGTGTCAGAGTGGGCACCTGTGACCAGCGGGGTCCCGCAGGGGTCAGTCCTAGGACCAGTGCTGTTTCTGGTATTTGTGAACGACATGACGGAAGGAATAGATTCTGAGGTGTCCCTGTTTGCAGATGACGTGAAGTTGATGAGAAGAATTCACTCGATCGAAGACCAGGCAGAACTACAAAGGGATCTGGACAGGCTGCAGACCTGCTCCAGCAATTGGCTCCTGGAGTTCAATCCCACCAAGTGCAAAGTCATGAAGATTGGGGAAGGGCAAAGAAGACCGCAGACGGAGTACAGTCTAGGGGGCCAGAGACTAAAAACCTCACTCAACGAAAAAGTTCTTGGGGTGAGTATAACACCAGGCACATCTCCTGAAGCGCACATCAACCAAATAACTGCTGCAGCATATGGGCGCCTAGCAAACCTCAGAACAGCATTCCGACATCTTAATAAGGAATCGTTCAGGACCCTGTACACCGTGTACGTTAGGCCCATATTGGAGTATGCGGCACCAGTTTGGAACCCACACCTAGCCAAGCACGTAAAGAAACTAGAGAAAGTGCAAAGGTTTGCAACAAGACTAGTCCCAGAGCTAAGAGGTATGTCCTACGAGGAGAGGTTAAGGGAAATCAACCTGACGACACTGGAGAACAGGAGAGATAGGGGGGACATGATAACGACATGCAAAATACTGAGAGGAATTGACAAGGTGGACAAAGACAGGATGTT